GGCGTGGGCGCGGGCGGGGCCGCGGGCGGGGCCGCGGCCGCGGCCGCGGGCGGTGGTCGCAGGATGGCGGCGGCAGGGGCGGCGTTTCGGATGAGGAGGAGGACGAGGCTGAGAGGGAAGAACGGCTGCGGCAGCGCGCGGCCCATGAGGCAGTGCTGACGCGGGAGGCGCAGCAGCTGCTCGGCAGCTTCCTGGGGGAGGTGCTGGCCGTCGCCAGCGGCGGCAGCGGCGGCGTCACTGTTGAGGCGGCTGCGGCTGTTCGGGCCGAGGGGCCGGTGGCGCAGGAGGGCGCACCGGCAGCGGCGGCGGGCAGGCGCAGCAGCGGTCGCAGAGCGACCGTCAAAGCTCCGGCCCCGGCGGCGCCCGAGGCCGCGGGGCCGGCGCCGCCGTGCGCGGCTCTGAAATGGCCGGCGGCAGGGGCGGCTGAAGAAGCTGCACAGCAGCTGCTGGGCGCCTGCGCGCGCGACCTGGCTGCGAAGGAGTCCGCGGCGGCGGCGCGGGAGCTGGGGCTGGCGCTGGCGCCGCTGCGGCGGATGCTGAAGCAGGGCGGCTGCGATACCCTTGCCCAGGCGCGCGGGGTTTGGGAGCCCAGGGCCCGCTTGCGCGGCCGTCCCCACGCTCTGTTGCGCAGGGCGGACGCTTGCGAGCGCCGCTGGGCGGCTTGGGGTGGTTCCAATTCTTTGTGGTTGTCAGGGGGTGGGGTCGCGCTCCTGTCTCTGCCTTGCACCGCCCTGCACAATGCCTCGCCCTCGGGCCCGTCTCGGAAGACGCTAGTCAGCCTCCATCTTATCAGTGAAATCGCACCCATCCCCGCCCGAATCCACCCAGACCCATCAAAACCCCCCAAAACCAACCAGAATCAAAACCCAGCAAAACTTACCAAAACCCACTCAAACCCACCAAAATCCTACCAAAGCCCACCAAACCACGCCGAAACCCACCACCCACAGGCCCTCGCAGACGTTCGCGGGGACTGCCAGGCGGCGCTGGCCGCCTACGACTTTGGATCCGGGCGCATACGGCGATCCCAGGCGGAGGCGCAGGTCGGCTTGACCAATCAGATTTTGGGCGGGGTGCTGTGCTCTGCCTGGGTCAACCCAGCGCACGTCTGCTTATTGCTGACCGTGGTCCCAATCAGCCTGCCTTGTTGCCGCGACCAGCACGTGCCGTTGGTGCGGCTGCCGGCTGGGAGGCGATAATGAGTTCAGCAAGGCTGACCAAACATGGTGGGCCGCCGCCCAGCCTTGCGCGAGCCTGCCGATTGTCTGTAACCCCCTCCCAAGCCCCGCGGGCGGGGAGCCGCGCGGCGTCACTCACCAGCGTCCCGATTGACCATGATCCCGCAGGTCCAGGCGTTTGTGGAGGACCTGCGAGAAGCTGCCGAGCAGCTGCTGCAGGTGGGACGGGGCAGCCTGGACCCCAACACGTGTCCGGCGACCCCGCTGCATTCGATTTGCGGGGAAGTCCGCCTGCCGCAACATATCCGCCTTGCAGGCTCAGGGACCCGACGTATCGCAACACTGCCCTGTTTGAAGGGGGTCGACCGAACCCAAGCTGCTGCTGCTACTGCTGCTGCTGCTGCTGCTGCTGCTGCTGCTGCTGCTGCTGCTGCTGCTGCTGCTGCTGCTGCTGCTGCTGCTGTTGCTGCTGCTGTGACTCAACCCTCCGGCGACCCTCAACCGTCTCACAGGCGTCAGGCCACCTTGCGCCGCCAGGGGCGGAGCGCGCATGGCAGGCCGCGTCGCGGCGGTGGCCATTGCCTCACAGCATCATTGCAAACCGCATGGCGTTCAAGGTGGGGGCAATGGCTTGATTCAAATCTCAATTCGATGTTCTTTACTTCAACAGCGAATAGGATGCCTCACAACCCATGATGGACCGCCGGCAGCCGCCGCCGGCCGGCCGCTGTGGGCGCAGCGGCCAGCCGGCATAATTGATGCATGCCCACCCGCTGCTCAGCGCGGGCCCCTGGCATAGAGCGCGCCGTCTTCACCCAGATGACGGCCGCGCCGCCCCGGCTCCCGCCGCGAGCCCTTCCTCCAATCCCTTCCGCTTCCGCGCCGCCGCTGTCGCTGCCTGCCTTTGTTGCGCGCCTTCTGCGTCCCCAACCGCCATTCCTTTGTGTTTGATCGTGTTGTCTGTGGGACTGCCGCGCAGCACGGCGACTGGCGCAAGGCCCCGTGGGAGGTGCGGCCCTATGAGGAGTTGCAGGAGTACCACATCGCCGACGACGTGCCCGAGGAGGTGCGTGATCTGAGTTCCGAGACAAGACAAGATCAGACACTTGGATCTCATGTCACACATGGCCTGAGATCTGAGAGGTCTGCTCCGGATCTGCATTATTATTTGTACAAGGCTTGGCCCTTGTTGGCTTGGAGCCAATGTTGCAAAGGGCGCCGCAGCCTTGTGGGTGTGCTTTCAAGCGTGCCCTCGGCCTTCCCGCTTGCATGTATCAGCAGGACATAGCCATGCCGCTCATCTCGCCCCCCGCCACGCCCCGCCCCACCGTGCCGCCCGCCCGCCCCCCCCAGGCGGCGGCTCTGAGGTGGAAGCTGTCCACGCGGCGCCCCGACGGCGCCAACGAGCACTTTGCCCAGCAGCACGCGGAGCAGCTGCCGGGAAGCCGTCTCAAAGAGGTCGAGGCAAAGCTGGCAGCGCAGGCAAGCTCCGGGGCCGCCGCGGCGCGACGGGCGACTCGACTTGGGTTTGAGGGCCGCCTGCTGCCGGAAAGCTCTGGACTGCGCACATTGCATGACCTCAAACATACTCACTTGGTTGTCGTTTTGTCGTCTTGATCGGCGGTTGCCTGCCTTCATCCCCAGGTTCAGATTGTGAGCTCCAAACAAACCCCCACCCTCCGGTGTCGTGCCTTCAAACAAACCCCCTCCCCTGGTACGGCGCACTGATGTCGAGGATTTGTACACCAAGCGTTTTTTTCACAATGTCATTGCAACATCAACTTCACTGCAGGTTGCGGCGAGGGACGTCCTGAGGCTGGGGGAGGACGTAGTCGAGGTGGACACCTGGGGCATGGACGCGTACAGCAGGTGTCTGAGCCTGTGTGTGTGTGTGTGTGTGTGTGTCTGAGCCTGTGTGTGTGTGTAAGTGTGTGCGCTTGCGTGCGTACATGCGTGCGTGTGTGTGTGTCATTGTGCACGCACAAACACGGATCGTCGGCTTGGGGAGCCAAGGCCACAACGTGGGGCGGCCACACAGGCCGGCTGTTGCCCATGCCCCCCTCATTCCGCGTGCCCCAGCCGCTGAGGGGCAGGACGTTCCGGTCAGCGGCGACGCCCGTGAGCGCTCGCTTTTCTGCAGGTGTCGGCTCCGATGCTCGCCGCGTTGGCACAGACGCAACGTCAGTCAGGCCGCCCCCTGCCGCCCCCCTTTGTGTGATTTATGTAAATAGGTACAACGTCTACAGGGCCGTGCTGGAGGCGGGCGTGTTTGCGCACCTGCGTGACGCGGAGCCCCCGCCCGCGGCAGCTGGACCCGCGGCCCCCGGCGCGGCGGCCGCCAACGCAGCGGCCGCCGGCGGGGCCGCCGCAGCGGCCACGAAGGGCGGCGGGGCCAAGGTGCGGGGGCGTCGCTCCCGCTCCGGGGTGGCGCCTGGGGGCGGCGTCTTGAGGGGGATGAGTGGGCGATATTTTCCTTCTCTTGCCTCACGGACGTCCACCTCGGCTTTGTTTGGGCATGGTCGCTGTGAGCCGCTTGGCTGGGGCGGTCACCATCTGGTGCTTGTGCGTTTGTGCATTTGTGCGTTTGTGCGTTTGTGCGTTTGTGCGTTTGTGCATTTGTGCATTTGTGCATTTGTGCATTTGTGCATTTGTGCATTTGTGCATTTGTGCATTTGTGCATTTGTGCATTTGTGCATTTGTGCATTTGTGCATTTGTGCATTTGTGCATTTGTGCATTTGTGCATTTGTGCATTTGTGCATTTGTGCATTTGTGGGGCGTGCAGCGACCCAGGAGGGCGACTGCAGCTGTACTGCTTGCGCTCCAGGGCCGGGGTACGAGGCTGCTGGCCTCCCTCCACGACAAGCCGTGATCGACTGCTCCCCGCAGGCGGAGGCGGGCGGCGCTGAGAAGGTGGCTGCCACAGCGCGGGAGGAGGGCGCAGGCGGCGGGCAGCGCCGGCGGGGCGCCAGGCGGCGGCGGGAGGAGGAGGGCGAGGCAGAGAAGGAAGGGAAGGAGCAGCAGGAGGAGCACCAGCAGGAGGAGCAGCAGCAGGAGAAGCAGCAGCAGGAGAAGCAGCAGCAGCAGCAGCCGGATCAGCAGCAGCAGCAGCAGCAGCAGCCTGCGTCCAGCGGCGATGGCCGGGGCCGTGGGCGAGGACGAGCAGGGGCGCGGGGCAGGGGCCGGGGCCGGGGCCGGGGCCGAGGTAGGGGCAGGGCCACGGCGGACTCTGTCGTTGAGGGCGCGGAGGGTGCTGAGGGCGAGCAGCAGCAGCAGCAGCAGCGGAAGGAGCAGCAGGAGGAGCAGCAGCAGGAGGTGGAAGAGGCAGCGAGGGGTGCAGCTTCAGAGGACGGGGTCGTCGGTGGCGCGCTTGCAGCAGAGGGGCGGCAGGGCGAGGCA